AAATAAATAAATAAATAAATTAACCCAGATAGTCCTGTCAACCTCAGATCCTCCTTAGCTTAGTATGAAATAGCTGAACACACTATGCTGCTCCTAAAACTCTTTGCGGTGTATTTCCGGTAGTTTCATATCCACTCTGGGAGCTGGGGCAGGGGGGTACCCCGAAGTTCCTCAAGTATATTTGGGGCACCCAAACCTATCCTTCCTCCCATTCTGCTCTACCCACTTCATTGCTGTGCTGATGGTTCCAGTAAAGCAGTTCTGTCTTAGAAACTGGTCAGCGGATACATGTGAGAAATACAGGGAATGGACAAAATGAGACCAGATGATCAGAAATCACAAAGGAGAATAAATGCAGATGTTCCCCCTTTGTTTTTCTGGTATGTATGGCAGCCATGAAATTCAATGCTACAGAAGGTCACACAGACCCTCTTAGTCGGCATTTCATAAATTGACCATTTCATGGTGATTAAAAGAAATGACGGCCAGCAAGTCTCATGCTTCCTGGCATAAGCTGACAGCAGCGGGAAATAGCAAATTAAGTTTGATTTATAATATTATGAATTCTGCAGGCACTTTATAAAATTAGAGCCAAGATGTCCAGCTTCAAAGGGACCCAAGGCTAAACGAGAAAGTTTTATTGAAGTCAATCTGGGTTCCAGTGGTGTCAAACGGGCCTTGGACCAGCCCCCTCCTTCCCTCCACAGATAGTCCAGTAAGGCTGGAGGACTGGTTCTTAGGGTGCATTTTATACATGAATATAAAAATGCTGACGTGGAAGATTTATATCGACTTTTAATCCTCTGTTTTTATTTAATTCTGCAGTTTTTCCCTTATGGAGATGCGTCGAAATTTGCCCAGCACGCCTTCCGAACCTTTGATAAGAATGGAGATGGAACCATCGATTTCAGAGAGTTCATTTGTGCCCTGTCCATCACCTCACGGGGCAGTTTTGAACAGAAACTCAACTGGGCCTTCAATATGTATGACTTAGATGGAGATGGGAAAATCACAAGAGTAGAAATGCTGGAAATTATAGAGGTGAGATTCCGTGCAATTTTTTTTTTTTAACGGTTTCTGTGAATGTGTCACATGTGTGATTGTGAAAGAAAGCCACGCTAGCTGCTTTGTTTCTTATCGACTTGTGTTTTATGGTTGCAAAATCCTATATGGTGTAGTGGATAGAGCTGCAACCTCTAAGCCCACTTTTGGCAGAAGATTTTTTCGCTCTCTCTAAATAGGGAAGAACTTGCCTGTGCCACCATATTCCACTCACCTCCCGTCTGTTTTAGATGCACAAGAAGGGGTTTTCTTTCAGCTGTGCTCCCCTGTGTCATAGTAGGAAAGGCTCCTGTAAATTCTCACTAGCTTACAAAAGCTGTATAGCAGGTTCATCTAGTAGATATGAAAGTGTGATCTCTGGCAGTAGCAATGTGTTCTTGATTTGCGTTGCGGGTGTGCGTCATTCTCCAGTTGAAGTTTGTTAGTCTTAAAAGTAGAGAGCTAACTTCAGCTGGTTAGTACAAGTGAAGTTTTAACTATGCAGTTCTGCATTCAGTGGAAATTATTTCTAAGTGGAAGTGGTTAGGATTGTGGCGTGACTATTTCAAAGAGGTTTATTTTTGATGGATTACATGGAATGCTTCTCTCTCTTTCTCAAGGCCATTTATAAAATGGTAGGCACAGTGATCATGATGAAAATGAACGAAGATGGCCTCACACCGGAGCAAACGGCCAGCAAGTCTCATGCTTCCTGGCATAAGCTGACAGCAGCGGGAAATAGCAAATTAAGTTTGATTTATAATATTATGAATTCTGCACGCACTTTATAAAATTAGAGCCAAGATGTCCAGCTTCAAAGGGACCCAAGGCTAAACGAGAAAGTTTTATTGAAGTCAATCTGGGTTCCAGTGGTGTCAAACGGGCCTTGGACCAGCCCCCTCCTTCCCTCCACAGATAGTCCAGTAAGGCTGGAGGACTGGTTCTTAGGGTGCATTTTATACATGAATATAAAAATGCTGACGTGGAAGATTTATATCGACTTTTAATCCTCTGTTTTTATTTAATTCTGCAGTTTTTCCCTTATGGAGATGCGTCGAAATTTGCCCAGCACGCCTTCCGAACCTTTGATAAGAATGGAGATGGAACCATCGATTTCAGAGAGTTCATTTGTGCCCTGTCCATCACCTCACGGGGCAGTTTTGAACAGAAACTCAACTGGGCCTTCAATATGTATGACTTAGATGGAGATGGGAAAATCACAAGAGTAGAAATGCTGGAAATTATAGAGGTGAGATTCCGTGCAATTTTTTTTTTTTAACGGTTTCTGTGAATGTGTCACATGTGTGATTGTGAAAGAAAGCCACGCCAGCTGCTTTGTTTCTTATCGACTTGTGTTTTATGGTTGCAAAATCCTATATGGTGTAGTGGATAGAGCTGCAACCTCTAAGCCCACTTTTGGCAGAAGATTTTTTCGCTCTCTCTAAATAGGGAAGAACTTGCCTGTGCCACCATATTCCACTCACCTCCCATCTGTTTTAGATGCACAAGAAGGGGTTTTCTTTCAGCTGTGCTCCCCTGTGTCATAGTAGGAAAGGCTCCTGTAAATTCTCACTAGCTTACAAAAGCTGTATAGCAGGTTCATCTAGTAGATATGAAAGTGTGATCTCTGGCAGTAGCAATGTGTTCTTGATTCGCGTTGCGGGTGTGTTTCATTCTCCAGTTGAAGTTTGTTAGTCTTGAAAGTAGAGAGCTAACTTCAGCTGGTTAGTACAAGTGAAGTTTTAACTATGCAGTTCTGCATTCAGTGGAAATTATAAGTGGAAGTGGTTAGGATTGTGGAGTGACTATTTCAAAGGGTTTTTTTTGCTGGATTACATGGAATGCTTCTCTCTCTTTCTCAAGGCCATTTATAAAATGGTAGGCACAGTGATCATGATGAAAATGAACGAAGATGGCCTCACACCGGAGCAACGAGTAGACAAGATCTTCAGCAAAATGGATAAGAACAAAGACGACCAGATCACACTGGATGAATTCAAAGAAGCCGCAAAGAGCGACCCGTCCATTGTATTACTCCTGCAGTGTGACATTCAGAAATGAGGAGATTGTATAAAATGCTTTCATGGACTACACAGAAGTTTAAATGTTCCATTCAGTTTGCAGCTATTTACACACACACACACATACACACACACACACGAACAAACAAACAAAAATTGCTTGGACTACCTATCAATGGACTTGCTTCTTGTGTTTGAAACACTTGTGTGCATGAGAATGTCAATTGCTAAAGAATTTTAAAAGTATATATTATAAGAAAAAAATATGCCACAATGTGATGTGTGCAACGTCATTTCATAGGTCCTTTTCCTCTGATGCCTGTGCAGCATCGCTGTGCTGCAAGTGAAATTATACTATTTATTGTTCATGTTTTACTGATGCTAGCTGTATGTCTCCTAAACTGGATAATGTTAGTGGCACTGAAATCCCCCATGGTAGTGTAAACTGTTAAATGAGCAAACGTCACCAAACATCCCTGCTGTATAGTAGTAGTGGAGAGACCGAGGGACACTCCTCAGTTCGTAAGGGTCTGCTCCAGACATGTGCTTGTATTGTCAGTGAATATAAATGTATTTCATTTGCATGAGTTTTAGGTTTGCCTTAATTCTTACCTCATTTGCATCCTTTTGATCAGAAAAAAAGCTACTGTACGTCAGAGGAATGATGTATAAGACAAAACTTTAAAAGAGAGAGAGAGAGAGAGAAGAGCTAACCCTGCTAAAGTGTTCCCTCAGTTAAAAGTTAGCATATAAATATATATAATATAAATATATAAAACACATTTAAAATACTGTTTTATTGGAAGTTCAAAATGTTTTGTTGGGAGTGTATTAATTTCTGCTTGAAAATTTCAAAAGCTTCCAAAGAGGTTGAGATCAATGTCCCAAAATAAATTTATAACATTTGACTTCTCATTTGTTTTATTTTACCCAAACAGCTTGTTGGTTGTGAAATTTGAAAGGTGGTTATGTCTCCAGAGAACTGTCGGTGAAACCCCTTCTTCCTGGGGACCTCCACCTACGTAGTTGGTTTTTAGAGACAGCAGTTCATGTCAGACTCTCATGAAAATTTACTTTTGACCAGAGTGACTCCTCTTAGATGATGGATAAAATCTTGTTGTACAATTTTGTGTCAGGGTACCTAGATCAGGGTACCCGGAAGCTTTTCATTAAAGTAATTAAAAGTTTTCTGTTCTCAATCTATTCCATTCCATGGGAGGTATAATTTCAGAAAATCCAACTGGGGAAAGTTCAGAACAATGCAAGATGCTGCTGTACTACAGATTGCCCCTCAACCAGAGATTGCTGATCCATGTGTAACTTCCATTTCCGTTCCAAGAGGGTAACAGACCAACTACATCCCAGGTCTCACTTTAGAAACACCGCCCCGCCCCCCGCCCCCATATTTAGAGTAGATTTCACACTTTGAAGAAAATACTACCAATGAACATACAGTAAAAGCTAGGAGAAATCTGATCTTAAACTTTGCAGAAACAAGAAGGACTCGCTAGATAGACACTATAACAGAGCTTGACGTGACAAGAAACAGCCAGAAAGTTTGGAGACCACTGAAAAGACTGAATTTATTTATTATTTTATTTATTTATTCATTTATTTATTTAATTTATATCCCGCCTATCTAGCCAACTCAGGACCACTCTAGGCGGCTAACAATCAACAAATAATTAAAATATACATATATAAAACAGCCAATAATAAAACTTTACAGAGATAGAAACCAAATAGAAAAGAAGAGAAAAGGACCATCAGGGATTGTCTGGAGGGAAGGCCTGCCGAAACAACCATGTCTTCAATTGCTTCTTAAAGATAAAAAAAAAGCACACTGTATGCACATACAACCCACGACCAAACTGCAGCGGGCTGGGAAACCCAAACCACGTAATGGATATTCAGAGTGAATCCAGTGAAGTTTCTACTGCCTTCCTAATGGTGGAACTAAACAAAGCTATAAGAGGCAGGAATGGCAAAACGGCAGGACTTGATATCCAAATCAAGCAAATTAAACATTTTGGGAACGGCTCATTCATCCCTTTAGTAACTACTGGACAAGCAATGGCATTCCAGAAATAGGGCAGAAGATGAAAGAAATCACTGTACTGAAACAAGGCAAAGACCCCCTCAGGCCCCAAAAGCCACAGGCCAAGATCCAGACTCTCCCACTCGTACAAAGCGTTTGAGCGAATTATATGAACCCTTTTAAGCCCCTATAGTGGAACCTCTTCTAATTCCAGGACGAGCAGACTTTAAAGCCTGCAAGAGCTGTATAGCTCAAATCTGAAATCTAACTCAGCATTCCAAAAGATAGTTTTGAAACATAAGATAACTGGAGCAGCATTTGTTGACCTTACAGTGGCATATGATCCTGTCCAGCAACAGCTGCTGCTCAGAAAGCTCTACCGCCTTACTAATCATGGACTAGCAGAAACAGTGGCCATTCTACATCAAAACAGAAGATTCTTTTGTTGAATTTCAAGGGAGGCATAGTTGCTGGAGAAAGCTAGTGTCAAGCAGCACATGCCAAACAAGTGGACGTAGGTTTTAATGAATCATGCAGAATTATTATTGGCTGCCTAAAACCCCATTGGAAAGTCTATTATGTGGCTAGCAATTCCTCTCCAGAGGTACATAAAGAGATGGTAGCAAATAATAAATGAAATAAGGTAATACAGCACCAAAGCCATCCACTTCATAGATAATAACTCTAGATGATGGCTAAGATCAAGGAAATGTTTTCTGCACTCAAGCTCTACATATTAAACCAGAAGAGGGGAGGCTAATCCTAGGAAGAACAAAAACAACACACCCTTGCCAAATGAATGAACGCTGAAGAGTGTCTCCCACCAGGACAAGACTCTGGCTGGACCATCTGGAAGTCACTTAGACTTTGAAGCGAAGTAGAATCAACAAAAAAATAATCTAGTAAAATGGGCCTACTTGGACACAGGATGAATGTTCTGTGACTGTAGAGAAATTCAATCGACGCAGCACTTACATGCATGCAAATTATGCCCCACCACGTGTACAAAAGAAGATACAGTGGTGCCTCGCTTAACGAGCGCACCGTTTAACGAAGAATCCGTATAGCGATCCCTTTTTGGGGATCGCTATACGGATCTGCCCCAATCGCCGCACTCGCTTTGCGACGATTGGGGCGACCGGCGGCCATTTTGGAGCCGCCGAACAGCTGATCGGTGGCTCCACAATGGCCGCCGGATGCGAAAACATCGCTGGAGGGGTAAGTTTGCACACTTATTGGAACTAAGTTTAATGCGTTCCAATAGGTTTTACTTACCCGCACAGCGATGTTTTCGTATAGCGAAGGTTAATCCGGAACGGATTAACCTCGCTATACGGGGCACCACTGTACTTCAAGAAATATTCAGTGTTATCTACAACTGAAATTTGGTATTATTGAACTTTTTGTAAAGAAACATTCTGAAGATGTACACGATAGATAGATAGATAGATAGATAGATAGATAGATAGATAGATAGATAGATAGATAGATAGATAGATAGATAGATAGATAGATAGATAGATAGATAGATAGATAGATAGATAGATAGATAG